AGCTTAGAAAAAAATTCGCAGTGTGAGATAGGCAAGAAGTAAGGCATGTAGCAACATCAGCACGGAAAAGGGCACTCCTTTAAATGCAAGGAAGGGCAAAAATATTTTAAGTCAAGTGATAGTGATTGCTGTATGAGTCGTACGATTTTTGAATCAAGCACGGGCAACGCCGGGCCATGCTGCTAGTAAACTTATATACCTCAAATTCGCTTATTCACATTATTTCCTAAGATTAAATCAAACGTTAAATTAAATTTAATAATAAAGAATAATAATTCAGAAAATCGCACGAATTATGTCTATTACTATTAGATTTAAAAACAACTTAATTAAAATTAAACAATTACTAATAAAAATTGAATAATATTATATATTTTAAGTCAAGTGATAGCGATTGCTGTATGAGTTGTACGATTTTTGAATCAAGCACGGGCAACACCGGCCCATGCTGCTAGTGTATATATATATATATATATTCGTCATATTATAAGATAAATTAGAAAGTAATTCTGAAAACATGTTTATCGATAATGTTTATCAATAATCGATACCCGATTACCAAACATCAGTTGAAATCATATTGTCGTGGTAGAATCGTTAGGAAACTAGATTGATTTTTCAATTTCGACTTCGTAGTGGGTTCGATCACCTTTACGGCAGCGAATTTAGGGTGGTCACTTCAAAGATGAAGAAGATCCACAGAGGTATGGTTGTACAGAATGAGGCTCAAGATATCATGGACCGAATATGTGAGGAATTATGAAGTTTTGGAGAGGATGCAAACAAGGAGGAAGCTTATACTTAACATCAGAAAGAGGTAGCTGAAATTTCTGGGACAAGTAATGAGAAAGGAAGACTTGAAGAATCTGATCCTCATAGGGCGGATAGAGGGAAAGAGAGACAAGGGAAAACAATGCGTGACATACCGAGTGGGATTAAGCAAGTGGATGACACGTTCTGTGAGAAGTAGCAAAATGACAAAACATATTGAAAACTACAAGGTATATGGAGAAGTGGAGAGCCATGGTCGGCTACGTTCTGAAGGGACACGGTTCATAAAAAAAAGAAGTGGGTTCGATCCTCACTGGCTCGACCATAGTTGTAGACTGTGTAACTTGTTTTAAACTAAGCTAAGATCGAGTGGGGAAGATGTATATTCCCCTGTTTGCACGCATTACTCTCGGAACGTTCATATTTTATTCAGAAGGGTTTTTTTTCAACCAATTCTCAAAACTTCAAAATGAGATGAAACAAACCGAACCAACTAGAATCAAACATACGGACAAATCATTCATTCATTTATTCAGTAAGCGCATTTTTCCGTCGCTCTGATCACCACTCCATGTAGACATTTTTTTGTGTTTCTGATATCATTTTCTAAAATTAACGTAGTTTTTGATATTTCTGTTTGTTCATGTACTATTTCGTAATTTGTCTTGTTTTCTATTGCTTTTCTTTTTTGCTTAACTTTTTGTATATTAAAAAAAAAAACATTAATTTTTTTGAGCTTCTAAAACAGATAATGTATATAAATGGACATTAGGTGTTAAAGGTTGTCCTAGCTGGAGGTGATAGTGGCAACAAGGTATCATTCTATAATACAACGCTTCCGTCGCATGCGCCTCAAATAGACTCTAACGGACAAATAGGAGATAGAATTAGAAAATATTAAAAAATCCTTTGATGAAATCAAAGAAGAACCGTTCCATCCGGAATATTGACGTCAGATTTAACGGTTTTACTTTGTTCTTGGGGATTTGCGAATGAACGGAGCGACGCTTTGTCTGGCCGTCGTGATTGGGAAAGGTCATTAAAAATATCAGAAAATTTTTCCACCTCCGTCTCTTCTTCTTCTTCTTCTTCTTCTTCTTCTTCTTCTCATTATTATTATTATTAATAATAATAATTGCCTGCATTTGGTGGAAAAAAAAAACCGGAAAACAAAGAGAGAAAACTCAATCAAAAACTAGATTGGTCGAATATACAATTTTAGATAAGATGAGAGGAAAGCATATTTTTTCGAAATAATAGTCTTTTATTGTTATTACTATGAATGACTATAAACCAGGATACTATTCCTCAGTCAGTTATGTGCCATGCGTGGTACACGCTTAGGCGATCATGTATCTTTCGGTATATGACTGACGAGACAGATTTTTTCCCACAGTAGGTTGCCATTTCTTTCTCCGGTAGACAAGTTGCCATCCAAGGCTAGAGAACCTGGACTAAGATGCTATTTAGCCATAAGCTGGAAGGAGAGGAAGAGGATTCATAACTTTCCCCAGGGCATTAGCACGTAAATGAATGCGATGGATTCGACTGGAATTCGAACTCGGCTCTCCATTTCCTCAATCCGAGCTGCTATCCATAAACAAAATGATTGACGTAACTCTTTCAATATTTTTCGACAGTTAAGAGAAGAGCGAGATTTAAGAAAAGTAAAAGAAAAAAAACAGTTTTTGACAATGTTAAACAATAATTTAACAGAATGTCTGTCTTCTTATAGTTATATTTAAAAAAATTTTTTCAAGTATAAAAATATATAAATCTAATTATTTAGAAAATTATAAGTCTTTTTACAAATGTTACTTGTCTTATAATAAAGAAAATGGCTGTGCAGGTAATGAACCGTTATTTTTTTTGTTTTTTTTTTCATTAAAAGACAAGCAACATTTGTACAAAGACATATTTCTTTTGTAAATTTATTTACATTTATAATTGAAAAACATTTGAAAATATAACTTGAAAACAGACATTCTATTGAAATATCGTATACTACTACTACTACTACTACTACTAATAATAATAATAATGATAACGATTTTAGTCTTTTTAAGAAATACAATGAATGTTCAAATTTTTAAGTGTTGCCTGACTACATAAAAAATTCAGTGGAAAAGATTATATTGCTAAACAAACATCCCTCACGTTGTTATATTTCTGTTCTGACTTTTCAAAGAATATTATTACATGTCTAGTAAATATAGTGTTAAAATTAGAAGTAATCCAAATCCTAAAAAGTGAAAAACCCGACAATGAAATCATAGCTTCACTTGATGTTGAAAACTTATTTACCAATGTCCCTGTTAGTGAAACTATTGACATAATTATAAGAAATATATACAGTAACTCATCATTACCCCCACTTAAAATTAATCCTAATATATTACGGAAACTACTATTAGCTTGTACTACTGAAGTCCCTTTCTTTGATCATAATAATAATGATATATATATACAAGGTGATGGTGTCTCCGTGGGTTCAGTACTGGGTCCGACATTTAGCAATTACTATATGTCGAACATCGAAAATAAGATATTTACAAATTTTAAAAACCATCCATCTACCTAAGATATGTTGATGGTATCCTTATGTTAGTTAAAAATACAGATGAAATAATTCAACTTCAAAAACGTTTCCAAAATAATGCTGTCCTTAAATTCACGTATGAACACAATACTACAAATAAAATTCTCTTCCTTGACATATTGATAAACACAAATAATAACAATTTTACTATTTCGCCATACAAAAAACCTACCAGCATAAATTCATGTACACTTAACTAAAAAAGCGAATGCCCATATTACTACAAAATAGCAATTATAAAAAAATCTAATACATCGTGCAGAAACTAATTCTTCAACAAAACAGATTTTTACAGTGAACTAAAGAATATAAAACAAATACTTATTAATAATAGCTTTCCAAACTATATAGTTGATGAACAAATAAGATGCTTTCTTAGAAATCTCAATACTAAGCAAATAGTACATAATAATGCTTCTACTGATCTCAAACATAATAATCTCATATATTGTAATCAAATGCATACTAATTATAAACAAGATGAAAATATACTAAAAAAATTAGTAAATACTAATATATCTACAACAGATCCTAGAAAAAAAAATTAAATTAATCATATACTACACTAAATCTAGTATAGCTAACTTAATTCGTCGCAATGATTCTTCACCCCGGTAGGCGATTTGCAAAAAACCAACATAGTTTATAAATTCAAGTGCCCTTTGGGAGATTGTATCTCCAACGAATTAAATAATGTTTATGTTGGTCACACCACAAACTCGCTTTCACGATGCTTGACACTACATTTGAATGATAAAGGGGGTTACTGGGTGTGAGGAAAAATGAGAAAACTTTACAAGGAACCGGAAACCCGATGTGAAAGAGGAAACTAGGGCTAAACATATATTCTTGTTCAAAAGACGATGAAGGAGTGTGAACTGGGCGATAGGTGAAAGAATCGGAAATGACGTATCAGTTACTGGTGTACATAGTAGAAACCGGAATGGCGAGTTCAAATTCCGACCGAACAATTGGTAAAGGTAGCAATCCATCTCTTCTTTCACAACTATGAGTTAAATAATAAGGACGATTCGGATCTCTAGTCTTGCTAAGGCAATCAATCGAGGAGAAGGAAAACTCGGGATTTAAGTCCTTTAAGGTCTGAGTCGAGCAATATAATTTACATATAAGCGAATGTGTTGCTGAAGGTTTCTTTGCTTTATCCACATCCGAAAATAGAACCAAATAGGAAAATAATAAAAGAAAAAAAAAACTAAAAAAAAAACATCAGAATATTTTGGGAAGGGCTTGTATGTCGAGCCGAGAACTTTTCAGCAACCTTCATAAAATTCCGTGTGCATATTCGTAAAGAAACGTTGTTAGATGTACTTAATGCTGAGGATAGAATGTACTCTGAAACAACTTATACATATACTGAAAGTGAATAAAAAAGGCACACAGATGTATTCGCGCAAGCGCACACATATTTATACGCACACATTCACACACAAACACACACACACAAACATGGACATGTATGTGTATTGAGAGTGTATGGTTGTAGATAGGGAAAGAGGGGAGGTGAAGGGAATATTGTATAATTAGTTGGGAGACGATCCTCCCGTGTGATAGTATCAAGCGGATTTAGAAGAGGGGTGGCTAGTTACCCGTTCGTAAATGTGGGTGTTAATTAAATGATTACACTAATTGGCTGGGAGAGATAGAGAAGATAGAGAAAAAATAATAAAAGCAAAAAGGGAGGGTGCAAAGAGAAAAAGGGACAGAGGAAAAAAAAACGAATAAACGTTAAAAATGGTGGAAAAAGAAAGAGATACGGAAAGAAAGGAAAAAAAACGAGGGTAAAAATGAAAGAGGAAGAGAGAAAGAGAGAGAGAGAGAGAGAGAGAGAGAGAAAGAATGGTGAAAGTGAGACTAAAAGCAAAGGAATGAAAAAAGAAGAAAATGAAAAAGGGAGCGTACAGTGAGAGAGATTAAAGAATGTAACGAAGAGAGAGAGAGAGAGAGAGATAAAGAGCGGGAGGAAGAGAAAGTTAGAGAGAAAGAGAGAGATAAAGAGAGGGAGGAAGAGAAAGTTAGAGAGAAAGAGAGAGATGAAGAGAGGGAGGAAGAGAAAGTTAGAGAGAGAGAAAGAGATGAAGAGAGGGAGAAAGAGAAAGTTAGAGAGAGAAAGAGATAAAGAGAGGGAGGATGAGATAGTTAGAGAGAAAGAAAGAGATAAAGAGAGGGAGGATGAGAAAGTTAGAGAGAAAGAAAGAGATAAAGAGAAGGAGGAAGAGAAAGTTAGAGAGAAAGAAAGAGATAAAGAGAGGGAGGAAGAGAAAGTTAGAGAGAAAGAGAGAGATAAAGAGAGGAAGGAAGAGAAAGTTAGAGAGAGAGAGAAAGAGATAAAGAGAGGAAGGATGAGAAAGTTAGAGAGAAAGAAAGAGATAAAGAGAGGGAGGAAGAGAAAGTTAGAGAGAGAGAAGGAGATAAAGAGAGGGAGGAAGAGAAAGTTAGAGAGAAAAAGAGATAAAGAGAGGGAGAAAGAGAAAGTTAGAGAGAAAGAAAGAGATAAAGAGAGGGAAGAAGAGAAAGTTAGAGAGAAATAACGAGAGGGTGTGGCACCATTTACCAAGGCAGAAAAAGAAAAGAAAGAAAAGAAAGGAAAGGAGAGGCGAAGACCCAAAGCGTGGATGATAAGCAGAACACCGCGGCTAAGAGACAATGGATAAGGGGTATTTTGATAAGTAACAAATGGCGAAAGAGTGTCATTACAATGGCAGGGAAATTCTGAGTGGATAAAGGAATCGGGTGTGTTCTGGCGTCGGGCTGTGTTATCTGGGATACATAAACAAACCGCTGGTGCGGGAAAGCATCTGATTAAGCAAACCCCAGACGACTAGCCAAAGAAAAGTCCAATTGAAAACGTTAATTTTGATAATTGACAAAACACAGGTGAAACTACAGGACTTTGGATAGATATGAAAAATTAATTGTGTCAAAAGCCGCACACGATGTGTCCACTGACCGATTTCTTTCGACGGAACATCTTTAGCCTGCGATAATAAAACTGTGTTATCAGAAATGTGTACCGAAAAAAATGAATGGGAACTTAGAAATGTTTCTTTTCGAGGCGACGGTCAGGCAGTGTTAAAAAGGCCACCCATTCTGATAATTAGCGATAAGATGACTGACGAAGTCCAGGCGAGGACAAGAGTTATGACCACCATCGTTCGTATTGTTCTGTTTGCGGCTAGAGAAAATGATAACTGCGATTAAAAAGAAAGAAAAGGAAAAGAAAAGATAATTTTTTTTTGTTAAGCAAGATTTTTTTTTTCCTGAAACAAAGCCGCGGAATCGTACACGCCCGACTAAGACATCATTTGTCGAGTGGTGATCACGTGACGCAAGGAGGAGGTTGTCGCCGCCCATCCAGAGGATGGGTATGAGAGGTTGCTACGAAGAAGTGGGAGGGCAGTTCACGCCCTCTGAAGTATGGGTGAGAAGGTGAGAGTAAAAGAAGGCTCCCAAAAATGGAAAAAGTGGAAAATTCTAACCAGAAATAAAAGAGGTGGATATGTATTTAGAATTATCGGCGCCGACAAACCCACCCCGGTTTTGGTCGGCGTCCATATAAGCGAAGTCGCAGCGAGCAGAAGTCAGTTTCAGTTGCAGTAGAGTTTCAGTTAAGTTCGAGTTGAGTTTCAGTTCGGTTCGAGAGACTTCCCGCCTCGCAGATAGCTGACCAAGATTAGCGCAAATTCCGGACTCCTCTTCAATCCAAGAACAATTAATTTGAAGAGCGACTTAGATCCACACCACCAAAATAAGTTTTTTTCGACTTTTGTCCGAAGACAGACCGAAAAATCGATTTCTTAAAGAGCAAACAACTTGAAGCGTTAAAACTCGCCTAACGGAAAACAGCGTGTCACAATCCATAGAACGGGTCGGGAAATAGACGCAGTCCTATGTATCCAACAACTAGACATAAAGTTTGTTATCCTTTTTTTTATATCTTGAATTTTTGAGTTATCATTTTATTTTCTTTTATGCATATTTGTGTGGTGTCACCCCCGTTGAACCCGATTTGCATTACGGCCCCAACTACTGATTGATCTCGTCTGCCTAAGATCAATTCACAACGTGGGTGGGCGGACTGGAGATCAATGCAGTTACTTTGGTAACCAGGCGTTGGAAGCGAGTTGGGAACGACGAGGCTGATATCGAATCTAACCAGATTCCCATCCGAATCACCAAAAGGTTAGAACGTCACATTTGGGTGCCGCGACCGATACCAAGCCAGTTGGTCGTCACAAGACGAGACAACACGACTGACGCGACAGGCGGACGTCACGTTTGGAGCGGCGACACCCGAACGGGGCACCGAGGAGCGAGCGAAGGCTGTGTTTAGGGACGTCGCAGCTGACGCCGCGACCAAGGACGTCACAGCTGGCGCTGCGACTAGGACGTCACAGGGTGGAAGAGAAAGTTAGAGAGATAGAAAGAGATAAAGAGAGGGAGGAAAAGAAAGTTAGAAAGAAAGAAAGAAAGAAAGAGATAAAGAGAGGGAGGAAGAGGAAGTTAGAGAAAAAGGAAGAGATAAAGAGAGGGAGGAAGAGAAAGTTAGAGAGGGAGAAAGAGAAAGATAAAAAGAAAGGGAAAGAGACAGTAAGAGAGAGATAAAAAGATAGAATGAGAAATAGAAAGAGAGGGAGAAAGAGAAAGAGAGAGAGTAGCAGTGAAAAGTAGAGAAAATGAAAGCAACAAGCGTGATAGCGAGAATAAGATAGATAAATGAAGAAGAAAAAGAAAGAAAAAAATGGATATCGGAAATGTATTTATCAATCGGGAATAAAAGAAAATGTAAAGGCGGGAAAAAAAAGAAAGAAAGATAAGAACAGTTTAAATAACCGAAAAAGAAGTATTTAAAATAGAAAGAAAACTTTGAAATGTCTTTAAGACTCTGAATAAAATAAAGAATCTGTCCAAACGTAAAAATTTGGAAATAAAATCCTCGTCCAAAATGTCAAAGGAAATAAAAAGAATTAAAATTGGGAATTAAAAGAAAAGAAAATATTTCTTTGTTTTGACATACCCTCTCCCTTCCTTTCAGTATCTATCTATCTATCTATCTATCTATCTATCTATTCCTTTCTTTCTTTCTTTCTTTCTTTCTTTCTTTCTTTCTTTTCTTTCTTTCTTGCTGCCCTTTTATCTCTCTCTTTTCTCTCTCTAACTCATCTCTTTATCCATTTCTTATTTCTCCCTTTTTTTAATCTCACTCTTTCTCTCTGTCTTTTTTCTTTGTGTCTCTTCTTCTTTCTCTTTTCTCTCCTTCACCCCCTCTCCGTCTCTTTCACCCTCTGCCTCTTTATGTCTCTCTTTATATAAACGTTTTCTTTCTCTCTGTCTCTCTCTCTGTCTCTCTCTCTCTCTGACACTTTTCTCTCTTTTCTCAGAACAAATTACCATGAAAAATTTTTATAGAAAAGGCACAGGGAAGCCATGTTATGGCGGTGGACAAGAAACGAAATATTATAAGAAGTCTATATATTGCCATCATAATCCCGCCAGGAATTCTTCTTCTATGTTCCCTTCTTTCAAAACATAATTGATCATGGCTCTCCACATCTTCCTATCTCTTATAACTGTTACTAACGTTTGTTTTTTCCCCCTTCCTTCTAATCCTTTTTTTTTTTAATTTTCTGCTATTCATTGCTACAAATTCATTAGATAAATTGGATCCATCGGGGATTTTTGCCTTAGATATATCCTGTTTAAGTTAAAATCTCCAAGACCTCTTTTCTCATTATGTCTCGAAAAAATGTCATCTCTTCATTTCTGATTCTAAGTACAAGTACTTTTTTTCGATTCACATTTTCCTTGAAACTTCCTCATTGTTCACATGTTCGGTCCATGGTCTTCTATATCTTGGTTGCGTTAAATCTCCTTTTCACCTGTGAGGAACTTGTCCAGCATTCACTGTCATATAGGAGGATTGATAATACATAAGAATTGGGCATATGTAGTGGGAAAAGAGCTCTCATTGCTCTTTCTGGCATGAAGTCCTAATAAATGTCGGAGAACACCGTTGGAATTTCAAGATGGCAGCACATATCGGAATTTTGTGACAGTCTGGTTAGTATGATTTCAAAAAAAAATAATTTCAGAGCATCTGTTGTATAAAGGTTATTATGAATGGATGGCATTGCTGGGAATGAACCAAACCATATCGTATATCAATTAACTTTTTCTATTTGGTATTTTACAAAAACAAACCTGGAGAAGACTTACTCATTAAACAACTTAAGAAGACTCTTGTAAAATGGATCGGCCTAAAACGTTCTAACATCAACCACACAGTAGAGTCTCGTTGTCAGAGCAAGTCTTTGAACAGGGACAGTGGCTTCAAGAAAGAACAGATCTACGGGAAGAGAATAGGGTGAAATATTTATTTAATAAGCTTAGCGAAGATTCAGCACAAGAGTGCAACTATAAGGTTCTCCTTTAGGATCGAGATCGTTACATCGTCGTAACGACCTGTGAACATATCTCGCTAACAATACTATATGGCAAAGTGAACAAATAGTGTGAAAATATTGATGAAATAGCATAGGAAGTACTGCTTTCGCCTTAGCCTGGCTTCCAAAAATAATTTTCTTTTAAATATTTTGTCATTTTTTTGTTCGGTTAGGCTGATAACTTTGATTATAAAAAATATGCGGATATTTAAGTTAGCTCCTGCGGAGGACTATTGATTTGGCCTTCAGCTAGTTCAGCAATTTGGCATTGTCATCACTGAAAGCTCTCCTGGTTACCATTTGATCTGGGTTTTCATTTACACGCGACTTTCTTTCCCTCGCTGCAGCCTTGGCTCTTTTGATTGTAATCTGGTCCTCTGTTGGCAAAGATTTCTTTTTGCAAAATATACTGCTGCCGTATACGACAGGCAACAATAAACGACAGAAGAACTCAAAATTGATCGCTTCATTTAAGTATTGCATTAATATTTAAGCTTACCTTTTAAAAGATCGACAATAATTCTTCTGCCACCACTTAATTAAAGGAAAATTTGATGTACGTAGGTACTTACTTTCCGTACAAACAATTATTTTTATTTCATGGGTAACTTTCGTTGGATTTTGCGATTAATTTCCATTATTCTTACATTTATTTCCAAGTTATAAAAATTGTTATCGTATAAAAAAAAAAAAAAAAATGACGGAAAAATGACGTTAAAAATGACCGAAAACCATCGCAGTAATGAAAACTTGGGAAATCCAAAATTTCAAGATTTCTGGTCCGGATCCGTCCCGGGAGTCCGTATGATGCCAAAATGTTGGGTTACGGCCTCTAGGAGCAAAGTTGAAAAAGTGTGACACACTGACATTTACTTTTTCTCGAAGATAAATATACAGACATCGTCTAAAATAAAAGTGAAACATATTAGATTAATATGTTTCTTATTTGTTCTTTTTTTTTCATCCTGTCAGATTCCGATCCATTTGATCTTTAATATACATATATATATATATATATATATATATATATATATATATATATATATATATATATATATATATATATATATAGCCACTCTGTAAAACGTGTGTACCTTTTGATAAAAAACCTGAAAACTGATGTATTTGGTCATATGATTACCTTTAATATGTATACGTGGGAATTTTAAAAACATGTTTGAACGAAATCTCGTGGCCTAAATACATCTTATATATATATATATATATATATATATATATATATATATATATATATATATATATATATATATAAAGTTGGAAATCATAAAGTTGCCTTTCTACGTCTTTTCTATGAATGTTTTCATAGGAATTGATCCAATGGTCTCATCCCTAAATTATTTTGATTTTAAGCGCAGTACTAGTCTAGTGTCAAGATCTCATCAATCGACAGTTAAGCAGACTAGATGTAGCTGTAAAGTTTATGCTAAAAGTTTCTACTCTTCGCACTTCTCCCTTGTGGAACTTCGTTCTTACTCTATGCTTTCCAGCCAATTTTAATCTGCAAAAATTTAAATGCAATTTCAATCGCTATCTACCGGCCTCCTGATTACTCTCTTCTCTTTCTGCTCATCTTTTCTTAATTCTTCCCCCCCCCCTGTAACTCCTTGTCTCTTAGTGGCATCAATGCCTTTTCATGGGGAGATATCGATTATATATATATATATATATATATATATATATATATATATATATATATATATATATATATAAAGAAATATAGTCTTAAGGTGTGCTATATTTATGAAATAAAGTGCTCAATATCAGAGATAGTGTGTGTAATATAAAAGTGAATATAGCAGTCAACACTTAGAGGCTCTAAGTGTTGACTTCTATGTTCTTTTTTTATATATATATATATATATATATATATATATATATATATATATATATATATATATATATATATATATATATATATAAATAAATAATTAATTCATCGAGTCTGACAGAGAACGCAGTATGGTTCCGCCACGGAATATGTGAGCGAGTGGCGCTTTGTTGAGTCTGATTTGGAATCTCTTTGTCACCGGGGCCCATTTGGAACAGATGGTATGATGTTTGCTTGACAACCTAGCTGTCAGGGTTTCAATTCTCGCTGGTGGATGCGCACTGCTGATGAGTCCCAAGTATAGGACGAAACAGCCGTCCAGTGCTTTTTGCATTCTGTTGAGGTTTCTATCAGACTCGATGAATTAATTAAATATAATTATCAAATCCTCCGAATAATTACTATATATATATATATATATATATATATATATATTTGGGTAGCAATCTTTCGTTAAATATGACAGACAAGGAAAATAGAATTTAATTTTTTCAGCGTTCTTACATTTTTTCGTTTGCTGGGAGTTGGGGGTAGTATAAAAAGTATCCATATTGTCCTTTGTCCAAAGCGCATTTAATCATTTAAATTTAGGGATTTTGTTTAGGTGTCGTTAATTACTCTTCGTGTTTTGAGAGAAGAAGATGTATTTTTTTTAAAAAAATTATGTAAAATACTAATTAAAACCCCGTAGCAAATGGAAAGACAACGAAATATAACGTATTAAGCAGAAGGAAATGATAAAATGTTATTTGCCATTTAAAACATTTTCTTGTAATATAAAATATATAAGAAGAAAATGCGATAGATAGATAGATAGACAGACAGACAGACAGGCAGATAGATAGATAGATAGATAGATAGATAGATAGATAGATAGATATGAATATATGGAGGTAAGTAAATTTAAAGATAACTCGATAATGAACAAACTCTCATGATCGTGTTCCTATCTATCTATCTATCTATCTATCTATCTATCTATGTTAGTCTATTCCAACTTATATGTAGCAGTCTGTTCATATCTGTCTATGAACAAAGATATAGATATAGATATGAACAGACTGAGATAGATAGATAGATAGATAGATAGATAGATAGATAGATATGAACAGACTGAAATAGATAATGGTTGCGAAACAATGCTTATGCTTACAAATCAGTTTCTTACTTGCTTTTTACACATTGACATATTCCTTCTATGTCAATGCACTTCATCTAATACTGTTCTATTAATCTCAGCGATTAAACATTACAACAGTAAAAATGGAGTTTCAAGATCCATCTGAATGATTGATCCCCCTTCATTTATTCGCTTCAACGGCCTTTTTCAAAATTCCCCCAAATTTGGCAAAGACTTTCCCACCATATTTGCGTATGTATCATGTACGCGAATATTTGTATGGAAAGACCTAAATATACTTGCTATAGTTGTTGTGGTTTTCATAGCAATTTTAAAGTATTAAGCGATAAAAATAATTACATTTTAATTGATTAATTATGACTAGATTAATCTCTTTGATTTTCTGAATTGACCTAGAAGAGTCAGAATAATGCGATCAGTGGGTCACTAAGATACTTTATCTACTAACCAGTGTATTAAATTAGATTCACAATTCCTATCAAAAGTTTCGTATCTGGCATTCGCCGATATTTCTAGAATGTATTGAACTATTGTAAACTATGATTGATTCGATTTTGGCTTGCAATCTACGAGGGGGGGGATATTTACACCGTACAAATGTTTATCTTGGTATGATATCTACATAGTAAAACTACTTTGACTTGGTATCTTTTTTCAACAAGGTAAGGTAGCAACATATTTTTACGATGTTCATATTCCAAATTAAAACTTGCATTTTAGCCGATATACATGTTTTTTTTTTCTCGCTCGCATATAAATAGAAATAGAATAAATGTTTTTTTTTTAAATATTTTAATTACTAGATCCCTACGCCGGTCATGAGTTTGATGATATATATGCTTTCCCATTCTATGTTTGGGAAAGTCCAGAATTTTTTCTGACAATGAATTATCCAGTATAATGAGTATGCCGGAATTTTGAGTAATAACATATTGAACATATACGAAATTGGATCAGAAATATAGACAGATACTGAAAGGCCGGAACGTTGTGGTAAATATGGCGACAAAGATGAGGACAATAGTCCAAATAATGTAAATAGTTTATGTAATACCTCATCTCAGAAATATAGACAGATACTGAAAGGCCGAAACGTTGTAATAAATATGGCGACAAAGATGAGGACAATAGTCCGAATAATGTAAATAGTTTATGTAATACCTCATCTCAGAAATATAGACAGATACTGAAAGGCCGAAACGTTGTAATAAATATGGCGACAAAGATGAGGACAATAGTCCGAATAATGTAAATAGTGTACAAAATACCTCATCTCAGAAATATAGACAGATACTGAAAGGCCGAAACGTTGTAATAAATATGGCGACAAAGATGAGGACAATAGTCCGAATAATGTAAATAGTTTACAAAATACCTCATCTCAGAAATATAGACAGATACTGAAAGGCCGAAACGTTGTAATAAATATGGCGACAAAGATGAGGACAATAGTCCGAATAATGTAAATAGTGTACAAAATACCTCATCTCAGAAATATAGACAGATACTGAAAGGCCGAAACGTTGTAATAAATATGGCGACAAAAAGATGAGGACAATAGTCCGAATAATGTAAATAGTGTACAAAATACCTCATCTCAGAAATATAGACAGATACTGAAAGGCCGAAACGTTGTAATAAATATGGCGACAAAGATGAGGACAATAGTCCGAATAATGTAAATAGTGTACAAAATACCTCATCTCAGAAATATAGACAGAAAAGATTTTCATTATTAAATTGCAGACTGACTGGTGTATCTTCGGATTGTTTATTGAATTTCATGATAGTGACGCGTGTAATGATTTTCTTTTTTTATGCGCCGCATCTTCTCAGAACGAAGGTGATCATGGCTCTCCACAACGTCCTGTCCTTTGCAGCTCTTAACAATTTTTGTCTTTCTGTTATTTTTCCTAAAACCTTTTTTTCCATCCATTTACTCAATCTCATCAAGTATGTCATGCTATGTTTTACTTCGCCTCTGTTGACTTTACATTTTATATATTTTCTACTGTGGATCCTTGTAAATGAAGACAGTCAATCGTTCTTCAATATGGATTCAACTGATCTAAGCGAATGGAATACATTCTCTTCCATTTCTGTTATAATAAAAACAGAACTTGAGAAATATTCAAACTAAATATGAATAAAGATATCACGCTCTGGTAACTTTCACAAAACGCATATTGCAACAGAATTTCTCATTGGATAAAAAATAAAAATCCAAAAATCTAATACCCGGTCTTTTGAACAGAGGTAGACGTCTATCCCTTGTTCTCTGTTTAAGATTGGGTTTCCGGTTGCTTCTAAAGCTTTTTTAAAAATCCTCTTTTACTTCCAGTTACCTCTTGCGTCTTAGTGGCTTTATCGCCTTGCTTGGGGTGAATTAATTTAAAAACAATAGAAATTAAACAAGAGGAAGAAGAAAAAAGAAAATAAAACACATTGAGTTGGCGATCATATTCTCTGATGAATTCATTGTTGTTTTACAAGGATAAAGGTAATATGCATTGGTACTTATTTACTCGATACGTGCGTGGCTTTTTTTCCAGACACGGTTCTACGTTCCTGTTTCTCTGAGTGGGTTTAAAACTTGTAGACTTTACTTCCGCGTAATTAAAGGAAGCACGCATTCAAGAATGGGTGTATGTGTGCATTTGAGTGTAAGGCTACGCATGCGTGTATCTGGGTGGGAGACTACGCATGCGTGTTGATGTGAGGGAGTTTTGGCGGCTTCGACGCGCGTGTATGTTTTTCTTGCATGCAACGTATATTATTTAGTAAATCAGGGAAGTTAATGATTTTATTTTCTTTATTTCCACTCGCGGTGAATGGACGAAAGAAACAGATTCATTTAGAAGGTGCCCGTGGTCTGAGAATTTAGCAGCGGGACAAAGTTTGTCACGTTATAGAAAATTTCAAACAAAGCAACTATTCCGAAGACAGTTATTTCAAATCATGATGTGAAAATATTTCCATACAGATAAAGAAACAAAGAAATAAATATAAGCTTTAATGTGCATTGTTTTTCTTTTGTTTTTTCGATTTTTTATAAACATAATTTATCTCTTTCTTCAAATGTTGAAAATCAATTCATTAAAATACCTTTTTGCAGAAAGACGCCAATTGGCGTATTTTGTAGTGATTTAAACTGAGTTCAAATTCTCATGATTTTTTTCTTGTTCATCTCTTTTAGAAAGATATGAGTACATATCTTATTTCCTTCATATTATTCATAATAATAAATTCATAGATATTAGATGTGGCACAAGGCCGAAAGTATGGGACACCTAGTGAGGATCGAACTCACTACTCAGTCGTAATTGATCTAGCAAGACAAGCTTTCTAACGATTACACTACGTCGAGTTGCCTTCATAGTGATTTTCTAAGCCCGGCTTAGATGTGGCACAAGGCTGAAAGTATGGGACACCCAGTGAGGATCGAACTCACTACTCAGTCATAATTGATCTAGCAAGACAAGCTTTCTAACGATTACATCACGTCGAGTTGCTCATAGATACTAAGAAATATATATCGTTTTTTGCCAATATGTAGAATTTCCTCTCTACTAATCCAAATAGTCAATTGATGACAATTCGATCTTAGGTTGTTAGTATGTTATTCTTTTTTTATGCGCCGTGTTCTTTCAGGACGTAAGCGATCGTGGCCCTTCACATCTTCCTATCCTTTGTAGTTCTTAATAAGTTTTGTCTTTTTGTGATGCCTCCCATTTTCTCAAGCCCATCAAGTCGGTTACACGCTGCTTTCCTCTGTCCCTCTTTCCCTAAACCCGTCCTGTGAGTATCAGATTTTCCAAATCCTCTTTCCTCTTTACGTGCCCCAGTAGCAAAATAATCGACCATTATTTAGCGGTTAGGTAATGATCACTAACAAAGAATAATAATAAAGAAGAATCTCTATCTATAAAAGGCAGGATGTGTGTGTGTGTGTGTGTGTGTGTGTGTGTGTGTGTGTGTGTGTGTGTGTGTGTGTGTGTGTGACGAATGCACGGCCGCAATTTTCGACGGATTTGCACCAAAATTTACATGCACATACTCCAAGTTAGCGGGAAGGCCAAGACCGACTTTGCATTTCTCAACTCCCATCGATAGTGGAAATAATCGATTTTTTCATGCTTCTACGGCAGTTTTCATGTAATTTGCGGCCATTTTGTACTGGCCAGAGTGAGAGCCTATAACTGGCTGCCACGAATAGTCAGGAAGATTCTACTGGCCAGCGTGAGAGCCAACAGCTGACTGGCACGAATGTTAACTAGCATGCTAGCATGCAAAAGATAGCTGCATTCGTCACAAGTGGTAAAAATTTAAATCTGCATGGCACTTTACTCCAATTGGCTCATTCGCTTGCTTAAACTCAACGTTGATTCTGATTCCGCAGAACTGGGTTGGGTGTGAAAAAGTATCATTAACATTCTTTTTTCATTCGGTTTTTCCAGTTACGAGTCCTTTTTTAAAGCTGATCGTTTTGTGTTCATTTTGTTTAGTTCTTTTTTCGTAACAGATTTAATGTTTAGTATAGAGTTGAGAAAAAATTCGCAGTGTGAGATAGGCAAGAAGTAAGGCATGTAGCAACATCATCACGGCAAATGGGCACTCCTTTAAAAGCATGGAAGGGCAAAAATATTTTAAGTCAAGTGATAGCGATTGCTGTATGAGTCGTACGAGTTTTGAATCAAGCCCGGGCAACGCCGGGCCATGCTGCTAGTAAACTTATATATCTCAAATTCGCCGATTCACATTATTCCTGAGATTTAATCAAACGTTAAATTAAATTTAATAATACAGAACAATAATTCTTTTAAGAAATTCACACGAATTATGTCTATTACTATTAGATTTAAAAACAACTTAAGTAAAATTAAACAATTACTAATAAAAATTGAATAATACTATATCGAATGATAAGTTATTATCATTTTGGGAACCAATTGTAATGACGTATGTGTCATCTTAACTACTAATTAACTAATACGTGACAGTTAAAAATTAACTTGACCTACGCTAACATATCTAACACGACAGTGGCGGCATACACCGTGGATTAAAAAATGAA